GAGAGAGAGAGAGAGAGAGAGAGAAAGAGAGAGAGAGAGAGAATATGAGAAAGAGAAAGAGAGAGAGAGAGAGAGAGACCTGGTGTGGCAACGTAGGATAATCACACGACTTTTCAAGGTCAGTGGTTCAAACTCACCAGCCTCAGAAATCCTATATGGGGTCGCTAAGAGTTGGAACTGACTAAATGGCACTTACCAACAGCATATAATGTATAGCTGTTGTTTTGTTGTTAAGTGCCGTCAAGTTGGTTCCAACCCATAGCGACCCCGTATAGGGTTTCCGAGGAGCGACTGGTGAGATTGAACTGCCAAACTTGCAGTTCAAATGGCTTTGCAGTCTGGCATTAACTCACATCATCACCACAAGTGTGTAGATGTTGTTGTTGTTAAGTACCGTGGAGTCGGTTCCGACTCATAATGACCCTGCACAGGGTTTCCGAGGTTGCAAATCTTTACAGGAACAGAAAGCCTCATCTTTCTCCCACGGAACAGCTGGTAGTTTCGAACTGCTAACCTTGAGGTTAGCAGCCCGATTCGTAACTACTACGCTACCAGAGATCCTTCAAATCACTTCCAATTCCTGTTGTACATAAGGAAACACACACACTACCTAGTCCTATGTCATCGTCACAACTGCCAGCATGTTCCAGTCCATTGTTGTAGCTAATGTGCCAATCCATCTCACTGAGGGGTCTCCCTGGCCCTTGGTGGACTCTCCCTCTACTTCACCAATATGATATCCTCCTCCAGTAATTGATCCCTCCAGATGACGTGTCCAAAGCAAGCAAGTTAGATAATGTTATCTTGTGATCCATAAGGTTTTCAATCACTGATTTTCAGAAGTAAACCACCAGGCTTTTCTTCTAAATCTTAGTCTGGAAGCTCCAAGGAAACCTGTCCAGCTTTGTTGCTGTTGGTGTTAAGTGCTGTCCAGACGGTCTGACCCATAGCGACCCTGTACAGGGCTTCTGACCTTGAGGTTAGCAGCCCAACTTGTAACCACTACACTACCAGAATTCCATGCTGGTTAAAATATCTCAGGTATGATTTGAATTGGAAAGAAAGTGAAAGACTGCATTGGATACTCCGTGGGAGCATGACATTCCTCATAAACCTGAGTGGCCTTAGATGGGTCACCTCACCAATGCCTTTTTGGTAAGTGGAGTTCTAGTGTGGCACTGTGGGTTAGTGTGCTGGACTGCAAAGTCAGTTTGAACCCCAAGGTTGTGCCACTCTTAGGAAACCCCATACAGGGTCTCTATGGGTTGAAACTCACTTGAAGGCATTTAACAACAAACAAATACGGATAGCAGTGGGGCCCACCCACTTGCAAGGGCAGTTGAAAAAATTACCTTAGTAAGGGCTCAAAATGTTTTAACCAACTTTTATTAAGTCAACTTAGTGGATTCCTGGTGTGGTGCTGTAGGATCAGGATCAGTACTGGAGTTTGAACCACAAGGTTAGCAGATCAAACCTACCAGCTGCTCCTCGGAAATCCTAAACAGGGTCAATATAAGTCAGAACCGACTCCACTGCACTTAACAACAATAGCGAAGGCTAGTAGGAACCAGTATTGGTGCTAAGCTTTTTATGTACAACGTTTCAATTATTTCCCAAGGTTAAGGTTGATTTTATTCTGTAGCCCATTTTCCAGAGGAGAAAATTAAGGTTCAACGAGGCCAATGACCAAGGTCAAAACAGATTCAGAGACTGCGTTCTATCTACCTCCTTCCTAAAATATTAGCTTATTTTTATTATTAAAATGGCATTTAATAGTACCACTCCCATAAGGTTGTGAGACGTAAATGAATCAATATTTTTAACAGCTTAGTATAGTGTCTGGAGCAGACAGAGCTGTATAAATGTTTTGTTTAAAAGAAAAAAATGACTCCGATTTTAGGCCCACAGCCCTGGAGGGGCAAAGTCCAGCGCTCAGGAAATTGGTACCGGTGTTTCTGGGTTTGTGCGACACACACACAGAGACCTCTTTCCTCCTGCTCTCTCTCCCTGGGTTGCTTGTGCAAGCCGCGGGCGCCCGCCCGTTCCCAGGCCGGGCTGCAGCTGCGGGCGGAGGGGCAGGGCGGGGGCGGCATGCTGTTTGTCTAGCGCGGCCGTGCCAAAGGCGGCGGGCCTCAGACAGCGCGGCGCCTCCGTACACCTGGGGATGCTCAGGTTAAATAGCTCCGCATTCCTCGGGCCCAGCTGATGGAAAAGCTCCCAGGCCGCCGCTGAGCCGGCCTCCAGATGGGCTGGGTCTGGGCCAAAGGGGAAAAGAGGCAAACGTGGACTCCAAAGTGCGACTGAATGGTGGGGGAGGTGGCCCAGGCCCCTGCCTTAGCCCCTTCCTCCCCTGGAAAAAGGCCCTGTAGTATAGAAGTATACGCGGGGGGCATGCCCACGGCCCCGTGGGTGGGCTTGCAGACCGCGACCCACACGTGGGAGGTGGAAGAGGTGCACACGTGTCTATGAGAACACACACAACAATCAATCATAATAATCATCAATAATATACATTTCGTGTCAGGCACTGTGCTAAGCACCTCACTTCATGTATTCTGTAAAATGATCCTGTGAGGTCAATACTATAAAAATGCTGAAAGGAGGAGGAGGAAGGTACAGGATGTCATTTACCCACGAACACCGCTTTAAGTCCATAAATTACTTGGGCAGGGGGTGGTATCTGACTTAATGTTGTTGTTGTCTACTCATAGTGACCCCTGTATAGGGTTTCCAAGGAGCAGCTGGTAGTTTGAACCACCAGCCTTGCAGTTCAAAGCGACCTTGCAGTCGGTGCTTACTCTAAAGCGCCACACCAGGTTTAATATTGTTAAGTGCTGTAGAGTTGGTTCTGACCCCTAGCGACCCTGTATAGGGTTTCCGAGGGGCAGCTGGTGAGCTTGAATGGCCGACCTTGCAAACGGCTTTGCAGTCTGGCTCATTAACCCACAGAGCCCCACACCAGGACTTAATATTAGGATTCAATAAATGATCACCTTTATTTATTTTGATCACCTTTTTGTATTTGTTTCATTTGTAGTAAAAACAAAACAAAGGCATCAGAACCCTGTTTTTAACCCCACCTGGGCCCTTGGTGTAAAGGATTGAAGTCAAGCTCTTAGTGCTAGCTGTTATTAACAAAACATAATCATCTTTACCTGCTTTCTAGCAAGTTCTTTGCACTTTCCAGGATTCCATTTCCCCATGGAAAGTTGACATGACAGGGATACTTGGGTGTTCCCACTGCCATCAAGCCAATTCCTACACACAGTGACCCTGTAGGGCAGAGCAGTCCTTTAGGGTTTCTGATACTGTCAATCTATACGGGAGCAGCCTCTTTTTTTAAAAATGTTATGTGAATCATGTGATAGTTTACATGGGAGAACATTAGTATTACATTCATTCTATCATATATCCTTTCATTGCCATGGTTACAATCCCCTCCATGCGTCATCAACCAACCAAAGGGTATACACTATAAGCCTGCCCCCCTGTCTTCAGCACACAGTCCCTCTCCCTCTCGGGATCTAAAAGCAGTGTCATTTTTGTCCCATGCCCCTACAGGGACACCAGGGCCCAGACTTGTAATTCCATCTTTTGAGGGCTTGTGGCCCAGGATTGCCCACTACAGGACAAATATACACAAAAATAAACTCACATATGTGGTCTGGGCTCTGCCCCCCCAATTCATCTGTGGAGGTAAACCTAGGAGGAATTGCCCACTGCCCACAATGCATCTACATAGATTACACCAACAGCTGGAGGTTGCACACTTACACAGAACACTTATTAATATTCGGATTTGCTTTTCTGCATACCCCCATGAGTATCCTCATCCACACCCCAGGGCTGTACACCAATGACCCCAGATCCAGGGCAACCACCCACTTTGCACACACAGGCCCAGACATTCATATGCACACCCCCATGAGTATATGCGCACACACATGCCCAGGCAGATTAAGCCTTTGCCAATGACACCTTTTTCCTGCTTAGAAGCTGGGGACTTGACCTACCCACTTGTCCTTCAGAGCCCACACAGCAGCCTGGGGGAAAAGAGAGGAGGTTCATTTAACTGCTGGCAAAGCCAGACCAGGGTGAGGGGGCCGAGCTGGACCCAGAGCAGGTGGCCCAGCAGCTGCGTCTAGTTTGGCCTTGCCAATTTGCTCACCCACTTGGACAAGCTGAGAACCCCAGGGCAGCCTGGGGTGAGGTGGCCTGTTTGGGGAGGAACCTCCTTCTGGGGAATGTGACCCTGGGCAAGTCCCTTTTCTTTGCCTCTTACTTCCTGCAGGTGGTCCTACTATTTCTATGACTTGTTAAGTACTCTCCAACTCCAAAGGGAGCCTGGACAGGTTAATCTGCATTTCAACAACCTCTCCAGGTGACCCAGAGGGCGAATAATAGACTTGAAAAGACACATGAAAATGGCTCATTCAGGTCGCTAAAAAAGTCCAGATGTTAACCTCTGCAACCCCCTCTTCTCAAGCATCACTTGTGAACAGGGTCAGGGATCACCCCCCTAGCCTAGCCCACCCCCCAAAAAAGACACTGTAATTTTCACATCTAAAGTGTTTGTTTAATAACAAAGAAAACCACACCCCCACAGAACTATTGTAAGACAATACTCTCAGTCGGTGATCATTGTAATATACAATACAAGCATTAAAATTTCCTCAGAAATCTGAGAAGCACCAAACGTGACCATTTTTTAAAATTTCTGCTTTTCAAAAAATAGAAACACTCAGGGCGGGAAATTCCCCCACCCCAACAAGTTCTGAGTCTCTGGCGGTAGGCAGTAGTGGAAGGAGAGTTTGGCCTTCCCTCTCCTGTCCCCCCCAGCCCTGGGTCCAACCCATTAAGCAAGGGAGGGCCCGCCGGATCAATCTCAATCCTGTCCTCTCCGGCTCCAGCGAGGCTCTTGTGGTGGAGGAGACAAGTGAGCACTTTGCCTCTCGCCCTTCTCCGGGACTGGGGTTCGTAGCTCCCTAAGGCGGCGCTTCAGCGACACAAGATGCGATCGTCCGCTGGAACACAGGTTGCCTTCAAAAACCAAAAGAAAGAGTTTAGGAGAACTAATAGGAGAAAGCAAGGGTGCAAAGCGCGGCAGATCCCACACTCCCCACGCTTTCAGATCTCCCCAGGAACCCTGTAGTCAGGTGCCAAGTAGGATGTGGTGACCACAGGGTTAGTCCCCATTTCCACTCCAGGCTAGCGTCCCAACACAAGCCTTACCTCGGCAGCCAGGGCGCTGATCTCGCCATTGAGGGTGCTGAGCGGAGCCCGGGCGGGCAGCCCCCGGCTTCCGGGGACTCCGACGGTGGACTGGGAGTCCAGCTCCAGCTGCAGGTCCCAGATGTAGTCAATGACATGTTGGAGAATCTCCACCTTGCTCACCTTTCGGTTCTGGGGCAGTGTGGGCACCAGCTCCTTGAGACGCGAGTAGCAGCCGTTCATGTCGTAGAGCAGCACGTTCACCTGCTGCTCATCCAGGGGGGCGGGCAAGCGGCCTCCCGCACCTCCCGCGCAGCGCGAGATGGCCACGCTCTGCTCTGACAGGCAGCGCACCACCTCTCCCGTGCCGCCCGCTGCCTTGCCAGCTTTTAGCGTGCAGCTGGGACCCGCGGTGGTCACGACGCTGCTATTGGCGACCTTCATGACTCTTGACGGCAAATTAAGAAAGAAGTGGTGAATCAGCAGCTAGCGTTAGGTGTACAATAAACAGAACACTCTATCTTAAGGTTACACAATGCTGAAGACGCCAACCCCACAACCTCGTTTTTATACAGACGCTAATACCCTGGAGGGGCGGGCTTCTCACGTTCAAAAACAGCCAATGGGAGATCGGGGCGTGGCCTCCTCTTGGGCTTCTAGGTTCTGCCTCTTAGCCAACTGACACACCCTCTGGTGTGAATTAAAGGGACTTGGGCTCTAAGTCCACAACGTGTGACAGGGCAGGGTGGCTAATAAAGATAAAGGCTGCTTTGAGCACTTCAGGAACGAAGCAAGAGAGGCCAAACCCGTGTTTCTAATAACCATACAGATCTCACTAATTTTCCCCTTGCTCATTTGGTGGTTTGTTTCTTTTTTTTAAACTATCCAACTCCATTTTACAAATGAGGGGAACCGAGGCTCGCTGGGAGCAGCGGCTGGCTCTTAGGTCTCCCGACGAGCTCAGGAGGAAAGCCTGGGCTTTGGAACCCTTTTGGAAGAATAGTTCTCAGGCCGCGATCTTCCAAAGATCTCAGCAGAAGTTTAAAGCGGACCCCCTTGCACTTTGCTCCCCGGGACTGGTCTCTCTCTGGTCTCCCTTCCCAGTTCCCAAAGAATGTTGCTGGCTAAAGGTCTTTGGAGGTGGAAGCAATTAATTTGGGAAAGTGTTCCCTTGGGGTTGGGGCTGGGCTTCCAGGATCTGACCAGTGGAGCGAGACTACACCCAGTATTTTACCCTGAATTTGCAGCCCCCTACAAAAAATTATCCAAAGTTTGCAGCAACTGGTGATTTTTAATTTTTTTCCATTTTTACCAAGGAATTTTTTTTTTTTTTTTGCGAAAGACTTCGGAGCAGGGTCTCCCTCCCACAGCGCGGCAGCTGCAGAGCTCTAGCCTCCCCCCTCACGTTCTCTGCCGGCCTGTGTCAGCGTCTAAACAAGCGGCTCAGACCGTTAGACGCCAGCCCCGTGACGTCACCCATTCATAAAACCCCGACGGGCTGTCAAACTGGCGCCGCGCGGGCGGTCGTCATGGAGACAGCAAACTGGGCTAGCTAGTCCTCCCACCCCCTTCTCGTCACCTGCGTACCCGGGGCCTGGGAATGGGCTCCTCGGGAGTGTGGCCCTCCGGCAGGGGTCACCTCACCTCCCTACCCCACACCTGTGAGCTGACTCCTATTCTCCACCACTCCCCCACCCCACTTTCCATCCCTCGTCCTTCTCTGCCGCAAAACTCAGACCACTTGGTAAGTTCCTGTCTAGCCACTTCACAACTTCTGCTTGGACCTGGATTAAGACGCCCAACTAACATGCCAGCTATGCTGCTGGGTAAGTTTACTGAGTGGAGGACCGTCTCTGAACTCAAAGATCTTCTAACTGATGTATAGATGATAATTATTAACAGAACTGTTCAGTCTAGGGAGTTTGTCTATATCATCATAGGCTGCTGTTGTTAGGTGCCATAGAGTCGGTTGCTACTCATACTGACCCTATCTATGCAAAGCAGAAGGAAACACTGCCCCATCCTGGACCAACCTCAACTGTTGTTGCCAAGCTTGAGCCCATTGATGCTGCCACTTTCCCAATCCATCTCACTGGGGGTCTTCCTCTTTTTCTCTGAACCTCCACCTTACCAAACATGAGATCCTTCTCCAGTGACTGGTCCCTTCCTGACAATATATCCGAAATATGAGAGGCAAGTTTGGCCATCTTTGGCCATCTTGGCCTCCCAGGAGCACTCTTGGCTGCAGTTCTTCCAACACAGATCTGTTGGTTCTATGGACAGCCCATGGCGCTTTCAATATTCTCCTCCAACACCATAACTCAAAAGCATCAATTCTTATAAGATGTTCCTAATTTATTGCCCAACTTTCACATGCATATGAGGTTACTAAAAATACCATGGCTTGGGTCAGGCGCATCTTAGTCCTAGAGCTGACATTGTCATCTGTAATCCTCTCCAAACATAAAGCTGTTTTATTTAAAAAGGAGTTTCCCCCTTTTGTATAAAATGGAGCTGCAGCAGTTGTAATGGTTACATTGTTATAACCAAACCAAACCAGTTGCTGCTGCTTCCATTCCAATTGATGGAGATGCCCTGTATGCCAGAGTAGAACTGTGCTCCTTCGAGTTTTCAGTGGCTGATTTTTCAGTACATCACCAGACTTTTGACACTCCCCGGACTCACTAGCTACATTTGCATCACCATTGTTCCAACATTGCTGTAGTATGTTGTAGGCCCTTCTGACTTCAGCCCTAGACATACTACAGGCAGGTAACAGACTGAATAGTCAACCAAGGTCACACAGCGTTGTTGTTTGTTGTTGTTAAGTGCCATCAAGTCAGTTCTGACCCATAGCGACCCTGTATAGGATTTCCGGGGAGTGGCTGGTGAACTTGAACCGCTGACCTTGCAATTCAAATGGTGTTAGAATCTGGCGCGTTAACACACAAGGCCACACCAGGACTCCACACAGCGTTGTTGTTGTTGTTAAGTGCCTTTGAGTGGATTCCCACCTATAGCAACCCTGTATAGGGTTTCCAAGGAGCAGCTAGTGAGCTTGAACCACCAATCTTTGCAGTTCAAACCACTTTGCAGTCTGACGCATTAGCCCACAGCGCCACACCAGGATTCCCCACACAGCATTGTTGTTGTTATGTGCTGTGGAGTCGGTTCCGACTCATAGCAACCCTGTACAGAGTTTCCGAGGCTGTAAATCTTTACGGGAGCAGAAAGCCTCATCTTTCTCCCGAGGAACAGCTGGTAGTTTCCAACTGCTGACCTTGTGGTTCGCAGCCTGATTTGTAACCACTACACTACCAGAGGACACAGCATTGGCAAGGGTTAAATACTGTGCTCATATATGACAGGGTGACATTATGGTCCCTTTTTCCCTGCTGTGCCTCAAGGAATTCATTCACTGGGTATCAGCAGGTTCCATTTCCCACATTAGTTCAGGAGAGAGGATAATAAACTAGGTCCTACCTCTGCCTCATCCTGGTGTGGCACTATGGGTTAATGGGCCAGACTGCAAAGCCGTTAGAACTGCAAGGTTCGGTGGTTCAAGCTCACCAGCGGTTCCTCGGAAACCCTATACAGGATCGCTATGGATAAGAATTCACTCAATGGCACATAACAACAACCACCACTATCTCAAACCAGTAAAACCAGTTTCTTTCTAGTGGATTCCAACTGAAGGCAGCCTTTGTGCACCAGGTTTTCAATGGCTGATTTTTTGTGATGGATATTGCCAGGTCTTTCTTCTGAGGCACCTCTGGGTGTAGACTGAAACCTACAACCTTTAGGTTAGTAGCCAAGAACCTTAACTGTCTGCACCAGGCAGGAAACTTCCACTTCAGAAAACTCAGAAAACTGATTAGTGAGACCAACTTCAAAGGAGAAAGTCTTCATCAGTGAATTAGCTACACTCCCACACCCTTACCAACCCCCTCAAAAATACTCTTCAAACTCCCTAGGCCTTATTTTGCAATCCTCTAATGGTGGGAGCCTTGATGTGGCACTGGTAGATAAGCACTGGACAACAAGGTTGATGTGAACTGCAATGGTCTGCAATTCATATCCACCAGGTGCTCCTTGGACGCTCTATACAGGGTTGCTATGAGTAAGAACCAATTTGATAGCACTAAACAACAACAACAATAGTGGGCAAGAACATTTTGTTGTGCAGAAGAATTGCTTAAGAATTGGACAGATGCTGGTCAACTAGAGAAAATTAGAATAATTGTGTTTATTAATTGCCCCAGAAGTTCTACTTCTTCCTAATAGATTCCAGAGAAACCAACACAAGCAGGCACCAAGATGTCTGCTCAAGGATGTTCACTATGATAGTATTTGCAAGAGGGGAAATTAAGAAGTTAAGAACCTAAATGCCCATTGCATTTATAAAGGGATGAATGCAGTCCTAATGTTGTGGATTAGGGAAGTGAGGCTCTGAGAAATACCTAAATCCTGTTGTTGTTAAGTGCCATTGAGTTGGTTCCAACTCATAATGGGCCCGTATAGGGTTTCCAAGGAGTGGTTGGTGGGCTTGAACCACCAACCTTGTGGTTCAAACCAACCCTGTGGTCTAGTGCGTTACCCTGCAACACCACACCAGGAGTCCACCTAAATCCTACTGTTTGTGAAATAATAAATGATAGACTGGGGGGCTGGGGGGCTGTGAGGGGACGGACAACACACAGTAGGACCTGTCGTATGCAAAAATGTGAACATAACTATTCGCAAGGATCTGTATGTCTGGAATTGAATTTTTAAATGATAAGAGCAGTTCGAAACTACCAGCTGTTCCACAGGAGAAAGATGAGGCTCTCTGCTCCCGTAAAGATTTCCAGCCTCGGAAACCCCGTACAGGGTCGCTATGAGTCGGAACTGACTCCATGGCACATAACAACAACAACAGAGACAATTTACTGCAGAAAAAATCCCAACAAACTACTGTGTGATAACTCTCCTATGAAATTCTAGAGCAGGACAGACAAATTCATGATGAACGAAATCAGGATGGTGGTTGCCTCTGGGAGTGGAAGGTGGGAATTGCCACTGACAAAGAGTTGAGGGAGTTTTCTGGAGGGGTGGAAATGTTCCTTATCATAATGATGGGGATGTTCCCTATCATGGGTTACATAAGTGTATGAGTTAGTCAAAACTTATTGACTTATAGTGTTGTGCATTTCATTGTATGTAACTTGTATATCAATAAAAAATATTAGGAAGCGAAGAAGAAGGGGGAAAAAAAAGATGCAAGGGTGAATAAATAAATACCAAGTTACTAACAGGGGTGGTCACTGTGAAGAAAAAGGGAAAGCAATCTGGGATAAGAGCTTCACTTTTATCTTCAGTAGATTTGTGTGACCATCACCGTAGTCAGACACAGAACAGTTCCAGCTTTTCCCTATTTTAAAACTTGGATTGCTCGTTTTTTATTG